ATGACCACATCTCATGCCTCCCAAGACCTACACCAGTTCAGCTGAATCCACCTGTGGTATTTAAAATCTCTGGAGTTTCTTTTCATGTGCGTCATTGGTCTACATAACAAACTGTTCTCCTTAAACTAATGAGATGCATCCATGCTGCCCATAATGTTGTTGTTTGTTTGTTTTTGCTTATGATCAATCAGAGGGAATGGATTTTTATCTCTGACAACAGTGAAGACTTATAACGTGGAGCTTGTTCAGTCTGACTTGCACTGCCCACACTGCTGGCGCTCCACTGGTGAGTGGCATCACTTTGGGCACGCTTAAGTAGGGGTTGCTACAGGCAACAAGCAGGAGAACATGTACTTTCCATGCTGAGAGAGCCACGGGGAGGAAAACAGAAACAAGAACTCAGCGGGACCCAGCCTTTTAAGAGTTAGTAAAATCCAGCACCTCACATTGCATTTCTTGCTGATTAACAGGTGCTGGGCTGTATTACGAACATTAGGGGGTGGGAGGGGGGTTATGGGGATAAGGCTTGTTTTAACTTTGTATGTTTTAAAATGTTGTAACCCGCCCCGATTGCAGAGCAGAGGGGCGGGCTAGAAATAAAAATTTATTATTATATTATTATTACCCTGTGATAATGTTGCCAAGTTTTCAAAATGGCAATAAGGGACAGTCAAAATTCATGACGGATTGACAATCAGGAAGTAGCAAATAACAAGTTCGTATTCTACTAAATTCTAAATAGTAAATACTAAAATATTTACTATTTTAAAATATTTAAAATATTTTAAAATTTTATTGAAAATACTAAGATAAAATACTAAATACTAAAATTTAAAATTTAAAATACTAAAATAAAATATTAAACAAGTTTGTATTCTGCTAGACTACAGCAAAGTCTTTGACTACATAGATCATGAAAGCCCTTAAAGACATGGGGGTGCCATCACATCTGATATTCCTAATGAGAAATCTGTACTCAGGACAAGAGGCTACTGTCAGAACAGAACATTGAGAAACAGAATGGTTCCCAATTGGCAAAGGGGTCAGACAAGGCTGCATCCTTTCACCCTATCTGTTCAACCTGGATGCAGAACTATTATAAGAAAAGCAGGCTTGATGAAGTAGGAGTGAAAATAGGAGGAAGGAATATCAACAATCTAAGATATGCAAATGACACCATAATACTAGCAGAAAACCTCACAGATCTGGAACACCTAATAAGGAAGATCAAAGAAGAAAGTGCTAAGGCAGACTTAATGCTGAACATAAAAAACAAAATAAAAATAATGACCACCAAGGACCTTCACATCTTCAACCTAGACAATGAAAAATAGAAATAGTAAAAGAATTCCCATACCTGGAATCAAACATTGATAGAAATGGGGACTGCAGTCAGGAAATCAGAAGAAGATTAAGAAAGGGGAAGGCAGCTATGAAAGAACTAGAAAAGATTTTAAAATGCAAAGATATACAACTCAGAACAAAAGTTAGAAGATACAAGCCTGCTTTTCTTATAGATATAAGCCATTGTATTCCCTATTACCATGTATGGATGTGAGAGCTGGACAGTTAAGAAGGATGATAGGAAGAAAATCAATGCATTTGAGATGTGGTGTTAGAGAAGACTATTGAGGATCCCATGGACAGCCAAAAGGACAAACAAATGGGTCCTAGAGCAGATCAAGCCGGAAGCCTCCCTGGAAGCCAAGATGACCAAATTGAGGCTGTCGTACTTTGGACACATCACGAGAAGAGAAGACTCATTAGAAAAGACAATGATGCTGGGAAAGGTGGAGGGAAGTAGGAAAAGAGGAGGGCCACATGCTAGATGGATGGACTTTAGTAAGGAGGTCATGGGTATGGGTTTGTAGGATTTAAGCAGAGCATTGGAGGACAGGGGGTCTTGGAGATGTCACATCCATAGGATCCCCATGGATTGAGATTGACTCGAGGGCAGTTAACATCAACAAATTCTACTAAAATACCAAATGAAAGTATTCATTTCAGTTAAGCTAATTATGTATTTCTCTGGAAAATTAACATATTACCCACCTTCATAAATTACATGATACACACATTTATGTCTTTATGAAGGGCCCACTCCCCATAATACAGGGTTTTTTAGCATCTTGTTCATTCTGCTGTTGCATGCTTTCATGTCGTTTCCAATTTATTGTGACCCTAAGGCAAAGCTATCATGGGGTTTTCTTCGCAAGTTTCATCAGAATCCCCTCTGGCCATTGCCATCCTCTGAGGCTAAGATAATGTGACTTGCCCAAGGTCACCCAGTGGATTTCCCTGGCTAAGCTGGGATTTGAACCCTGGTTTCCAGAGTCATAGTCCAACGCTTAAACCACTACACCACATTAGCTCTCGTCTTGTTTATTCTATATGAAAGGAAAAACCTTTTAACCCTCAAATAGGAGACATCACTTGTAATAAAGGAAATGTGCCACCTCCAAGGTAGAGATTTTCCAGCTTTCCAATAGCAGTTGTTATTGCATGCCTTCAAGCCATTTCTGACTTATGGTGACCCTTTTCTTGGCAAGGTTTGTTCAGAGAGGGTTTGCCATTGTCTTCCTCTGAGGCTGAGAGAATGGGACTTGCCCAAGGTCATCCAGTGAGTTTCATGGCCAAGTGGGGATTTGAACCCAGTGTTCTATTCCAACTCTAAAACCACTACACCACACTGCTTCTTGCTAACATTCCTTATAATAAGGGATACATGGCAACTCCACCCTGCAATCTTGGAGATTTAACATTTAATTTGGTTAACAGTGCATATGAATATTTCTTGATTGTTATTTTTAATGAAGAGCATTTTTCAAGTGAAGGTATAAAGCATGGAAGGACAACTATGACAGGTCAATTTTCTGCCCTTGGATCATCCAGATGCCAAAAATATAAAAAGAAAGGAAGAGCCCAGAATTGCCCAAAACACCACTTCCTGATAAGTAGAAATTTTAAATCTTAAAATAGTGCAATGTGTGTGTACTGCAACCTATTTAAACAATAATTTGCCTGACCTGGAGATTTCCAATTCAGCTCCCCTTTTGACCAGGAAAAGAATAGTTGAAGGAGTCTGGAGGGGTCAAGTACTCCAGAAAATAGCTTTGCAGGGCCCGCGTGCAGCCCTGGGCTTTCCTTTTCTCTACTCCTGGTGTAAAGAGTCAGTGAAGGCAAAAGGCTGGGTCAGTAGGATGTCAGATCCAGCACTTGGGCCATGCTGGGGGATTCTGGAGGTTGTAACCCATAAAAGGCATTTCTCCATGGTCTTCCTACAACATACTGCATCAGTTATCTTGCAAACAGTTCTGTAGTTCCAAAATCAGTCTAAGACTTCAGATTAGAATTGAGTGTTGTGCTCCCTTTCAGAGCAATCTGGACATTTTTGTGAATGTAGAAATTGGTAGCACACTTGTTTTAACAGGTGCAGACTGATATTAACATATATCATATGCTCTGAAACATTGATCCTGCTGCCAGCTAGTTTCCTAGTACAATTCAATGTATTGTTTCTTCCCTTTTTAAAATCTCCGATGCTTCTTGGTCTTGAACAGGGGTTGGCAACCTATGGCCCACGGGCCAGGTCTGGCCCACCGAGGCCTTTGGACCGGCCCATGGCTGGTCCTGCCGCAACTGCCGCTGCCGCCACAACTGTGTGCGTGCCGCTGCTGTTGTGCGCATACATGTGTGAGCGCAGGTGCCATTTTGGCATCTAAAATGGCACCCACGCTTGCGCACGCATGCGCATGGCAGCGGGTGCCATTTTGGAAGGCCCAACATCGCCGGCATCGTGCACATTCGCACGGCATCCCATATCATGCACAAAACACTTTCTTGCGGCTTTGTAACACTGACTCAGCAAAATTGAAACTTTTGGCAGTTTAGAACAGTGTTTCCCAAACTTTGGTCTTCCAGATGGTTTGGACTTCAGCTCCCAGAATTCCTGATTGTTGCTGAAATTGGCTAGAGCAGGGACCGGCAACCTACAGCCCTGGGCCCCGGACTTACTGGCCCAGACCGTAGGTTGCCGCCGTTGCCACCGCCGGGGCGCGTTTTCAGCCGCGCTTGCTGCGGCCGCCATTTTGGAAGTCAAAATGGCGGCTGCGACGCGTTTGCGCATGCGCAGTACTCTAGCGCGTGCAGAAACGCATTGCAGCCATGATTTGTACTTCCAAAATGGCCGTGACATGCGCTGTGGCGGCTGCGGTCACGCGCGCTACAGCGGCGGCCGTGGTAGCTGCCGCGGTGGCAGTGTGTGTGAGGGGGTCACGCACGGCGGAGGAGGGTGTGAGCGCGTATGTGAGCGCGTGCGCCGCCATTTCACACACCCCCCGGCCCAGCCAAGACCTGGGCGACAGGAGACCGGCCCAGGTCTCAAAAAGGTTGCCTGTCCCTGGGCTAGAGTTTGTGGGAATCGAAGTCCAAAACATCTGGAGTACCAAAGTTTGGGAAACACTGATTTAGAATGTTAGGAACAGCCAATGGGAGTTAAGCTAGGAAAAGGTGGGGGCTGCTCCCAGGATGGAGTATAAATAGAGAGGAGGAGCCATGTTTGAGGGGAGTGTGTCATTTTACCCTGCAGGGTTTGTCAAGACCATGTGGCACCCTGGTTTGGAAAATGACATGGATGTGACCACTGAAAGGAACTAGAGC